GACATCCTGGGAATGGGGGCCCTGGGGGGATGGGGGTGCTGGGGGGGTGAGTTAGCTTTGGGAATGGGGGTCCTGGGGGGTCGGAGGGGTGGGACACTGGGGGTCCTGGGATGTCCGTGGGAAAAGAAATCCCCAGGATGGGTCCTGGGAATGCTCAGAGTGGGGGGGCTCTGGGGGTGGGACCCCCCCAGGGCACACGGACCCCCGTGGCACCAGGGCCACCCCTCCTTGTCCCCCGCTGACGCCCCCTCGTCCCCTCCAGGCTCGACAACTTGCTGAACGTGGCCTACGGGGTGAAGAGGTAAACCCTAAACCCCCCCAAATCCCCCCAGACCTGCCCTACCCAACCCCCCCCGCAGCCCGGGGCGCAGGAGGGGACCCCGGGACCCCCGCGCTGACCCCGGGCCAGCCCGCTGTCGCTGCTGCCCAGGTTCTCGCCGTTGGCCATCGAGGCGGTGCCGGCGCTGGCCGGGGTGGGCTTGGGGACCCCCGGGCCGGGCTGGTGCATCTTCGTCTACAACCTGGCGCCCGAGGCGGACGAGAGCGTCCTGTGGCAGCTCTTCGGGCCCTTCGGCGCCGTCACCAACGTCAAGGTCATCCGCGACTTCGCCACCAACAAGTGCAAAGGCTTCGGCTTCGTCACCATGACCAACTACGAGGAGGCGGCCATGGCCATCGCCAGCCTCAACGGCTACCGCCTGGGCGACCGCGTGCTCCAGGTGTCCTTCAAGACCACCAAGCAGCACAAGGCCTGAGCCGCGTCCCCGCTGGAGGCCGCGGGGGTCTCCTGCCGCCGCCGTCGGGGCGTGGGGAGCCCCCGTGAGCGCCGTGGAGAAGCTCGGCTGGAGGTGTCTCGGGGACCCGCTGGAGACCGTGGAGAAAGCCAGCTGGAGACCTCGGGCACCTTCAGGGACCCCCGTGAGCACCATGGAGAAACTCAGCTGGAGACCTCGGGGACCCCCCAGCAGCACCAAACACATCCTGGAGACCTCAGGGTCCCCCCATGGGCACCACGGAGACCATGGAGACACCCACATGAAGACCCAGAGACCTCAGGGTCCCCCCATGGGCACCACGGAGACCATGGAGAAACCCACTTGAAGACCCAGAGACCTCAGGGTCCTCCCATGGAGACCATGGAGAAACCCACATGAAGACCTGGAGACCTCAGGGTCCCACTATGGGCACCACGGAGACCATGGAGAAACCCACTTGAAGACCCAGAGACCTCAGGGTCCTCCCATGGAGACCATGGAGACACCCACTTGAAGACCCGGAGACCTCAGGGTCTCCCCATGGAGAAACCCACATGAAGACCCGGAGACCTCAGGGTCCCCCCATGGAGACCATGGAGAAACCCAACCGGAGACCTCGGGGACCTTCAGGGACCTTCAGGGACCACCCCCCCCATGAGCACCAGACCAATCCTGGAGACCTCAGGGTCCCCCCACGAACACCATGGAGACCATGGAGAACCCCAACTTCAGGTCCCGGGCACCCTCCATGGTCACCGAGGACATCCTGGGTCTCCAGGATGGAGAAACGCACCTGGAGACCTTGGAGACCGTGGGGACACCACGGAGACCCCGGAGACCCCCTCCATGGCCACTGAGGACACCGTGGGGACACCTGAGGCACGGCCCGGACACCTGGACGCCCTCACCTGTCCCCGATGGGCACCCTGAGGAATCCTCCAGGTGCTCCAGGGCACTGGGAGGGGCCCTGGAAAGCCTGGAGACCCCCCCCAGGACACTGTGGACACACCTGGGACCCTCCCCCGGGTACCCCAAACCCCACCACTCCGGCAGTGGCCGGACCACCTGGAGCGGTGTCCCCCCCTCACCTGATCCAGGTGTGTCCAGGTGGGGGCTGTGCCCCCCCTTCCCTCCACTCCAGGACTCCAGCGGTGAGAGGGGGGGCGTCTTCTCGCTCTCTCCTTCTTTCCATGTTTTCCCTTAATTTTCTGGGGGAGGGGGAGGAATTTTTGGGGAGAAAGAACAAAAAATAAGGATTTACCACGTGTTTAATTAGACCTGTTACCCGTTATCAGGTAAGGAGGAGCGTGACTGACGCAGGGAGCGGCGACTCCTCGGGAGCCGCTGACCCAAATCCATCTATTTTTATAGCAGAATATTAAAAATATCCCCCAAAATCCCCCAAATCGCCGTTCCAGAGAGGGTGAGAACCTGTTTTGTGCTCCCCGAGTTCCTTGGAAGCAGCTTGTGAACCCCAAGAGGGATCAAGGCAAGTTCTGGGGGGTCAGTGGCACTGAAATTCCAGGGATTCCTCTGGTACCCCTAAATCTGGGAGGGAGGGGATGTGTCTTGTCACGCTTCCCCCCTCTCCCTTCCCAAATTCTCCAAAATGGGCAATTTTTGCCCCAAATTACTCCACTTTCTGGAGTTTGGCCACTTGGAGCCTCCTGTCCAAAAAAAAGGGCGGAACCCCACCTCAAAAGCCCCGACCCTGAGTTCCCCCATACTCCTTTATCGTCATTATTATTCTTAATTATTCTTAATTATTATTCTTATTAATTATTATTGATGTTATTATTATTATTGCGATTCTTATTTATTTTCCCTTTGCTGTCGGGATAATTTCTCACTTTTCAGTGGTTTATTTCCCATTTATTTCCTATTCTTCCCTGTTTTTTCCCCTGATCCTGGTACTCCCCGGGACCCTCTTTTTTCCCCCCAGACCCTTCCCCCAATCCCATCCTGGCTCCTGGTTTTTTTGTGTCGTGCCTGTGTGAAGCTTCTTGTAGTTTTAATTATTATTAATATAAATATTTAGGAGCGACCCCCGTGTCCAGATCCGCCATCACACCCCCCGCCCCCCCAAACTCTGACCCCCACCCCCTCTCCCAGGGATCCAGCCCTGGAATTTGGGGAGGGGGCCAGGGGACCCCCAGTTCAGTAGCAATAAGGGGTCCCCACCTCAGCCCCGGCCCATTTTTGGGGGGCCCAACGTGGGGACAAAAGGTGCCCACCCTGGTGGCACTGCGGGACCCCTCGGAGGGGACCGGGACCCCCCCGGCCCCCACCCCTGGACTCGACTCTTTGTATTTTTCATGGGAAAAAAAAAAAATCAATTAAAAAATTTAAAAGGCAGAATTTGTACGTGATTTTTGCAGGGAGGGTGCGTCCGTCCGGGACTGGATGGCTGAGGGACTCTCGGCCATTTCCCTCACGCTTCCAGCTCTTTTCTTCCTCATATTTCCTGCCCTTTTCCCCTCATGTTTCCCTCTCTTTCCCCCTCACATTTCCCTCTCTTTCCACCCTCACATTTTCTGCCCTTTTCCCCTCACATTTCCTACCTTCTTCCCCTCACATTTCCTTCTCCTTTCCCATCACATTTCCCACCCATTTTCCCCTCACCTTTCCTGCTTTTTTTCTCCTCACGTTTCCTATCCTTTTCCCCCTCACATTTCCCACCTTTTCCCCCCTCACATTTCCCTCTCTTTTCCTCTCACCTTTCCTGCCCTTTCCACCCCCACATTTCTCACCTTTCCCCCTCACATTTCCCACCTTTCTCCCCTCACATTTTCTGCCATTTTCCCTTCACATTTCCCTCCCTTTTCCCTCACATTTCCCTCTCTTTTCCCCTCACATTTCCCTATTTTCCCCTCACCTCTCCTGCCCTTTTCCCCCTCACATTTCCTTCTCCTTTCCCATCACATTTCCCACCCATTTTCCTCTCACCTTTCCTGCATTTTTTCCCCTCAAGTTTCCTGCCCTTTTCCCCCCTCACATTTCCCACCTTTTTCCCCT